TCATCTTGGATTGGTATCATCACCTCCCAGGTATGCGGTCTGAGGCTTTAACACAGTGGTTTCTCAACCTTGGCTGCTCATTAGAATTACCTAAGGAACTTTTAAAACTGTTTATGTCCAGATCACACACCAAACCAATGACATCCGAATCACTGAGAGTGGAACACAGGCATTAGTGCTTTTTCCTGGAGTTTGTGTTGATCTGTAACATACAAAAAGTTCAGTGCATAAAACATAAGTATGTTGCTCAATGAATTATTACAAATGGATTCTCCTGTGTAAAAGTACCCAGTTTAAGAAACTGAACATCATCAGCCTCCCTGAAGCCCCTTTTAGATACAGCTGCTGTGACTTATAATAGCATGCACGTTTGTTTGTTTGTTTCAGAACTTTGCTATGATCACAGAGCATGCACTCTTTTGATCTGACTTTTTTCATTTGACTTTCTATGTTATCGTTGTGTGTAGTTCTATTTCTTTCATCCCCATTGCTGAATAGCATTCTCTTGTGAGAACATAGTACAGTTTATGTGTACATTTTCTCACCAATAAGTATTTTGGCGTTTCCATCTTCTAGCTATTTTGAATAGCACATTTTTGTTTGTGTGCATTTCTGTGTGCATTTGTGCATTTCTGATGGATATATACCTAGAAATGAAATGACTGGATCACAGGTTATATGTCTATTCAGCTTAAGTAAATTCTGCCTAATGGTTGCCTGCAGTGTTCTACCAGTTGGCCATCCCACCAGCAGTATTTGAGAGTTCTGGTTCTTCCAACCTCTGAATGCTTGATATGGATATGTTTTGTGTGCCTTTGCTCAGATTCTCCAGATGCCTAGAATGGCCATTCCCAACTCTCTGCCTTTACAGTTTACTCTTCCAGAAAGCCCAGCTCAAGCATCACCTGTTTCATTAGCCTTCCCAGCCTTCCTCTAAGTGGAATTCATTGCTTTCCCTTCCGTTACAGTTAATACATGTTTAGCCTTACTTGCAACGTGGTGCGCATTCTGTCTTGCACCAGCACGTACTCCTCGACCCCCAACCCAGACTAAACTCCTTGAGAGCAGGGTCTGGGCCCAGGGTGTCCCTAGCATCGTTCCTTTCACATAACAGTTGCAATAAATATTTGCTTTGTTTGTTTTTGTCACAGAGAATATCTTTTAAAAATAGATTTTTGGTCAAGAATAATTTAGCCAGGCAGTGCAGCTTTAGAATTTTTTTGTATGCAGGATACGCGATTGTTTCCAGTGTAATCTACTTACTGATTTTAATTAATATGTTCTTTTTTTAGTTGCTTAGCTAAGGCTCATCATTTAGCTTAGGAGCCCTCTTTTGTTGGGGAAAGTGAGAGCCCATTTCTTGATCCTGCGGGGGAGGGTTATGTTATCAGCGTTTGTCATTCGCGTGTAAATCCGATTTTTGTGTCATAATTTAAAGATGAAGTGCTTCCAAAGAGCAGGATCACTAAGGGAAGTTTGGAGCAAATGACGGCAAGTCATGGCCCCTTCTACCACCTGAGAAGTGAGCCTCTGCCCTTCTGTAATTTATGAAATAGAATGAAAGGGAACAGCAGGCCCAGCTGCCAACAGAGTGACCACCTCTCTCAAATCCTCTAGTCCTGTCAGACCACAGAGTGAGTGACTTGATCAGATTGTGTCAGCAGCCTCTGGCGCCATTCCAGAGCACAGTGGGAGGTCATGGGGCTTTAGAACAGGGACGTTTTATCTACGGATTAGCACTGAAAAAAGAAAAAAGTGCATAGAAGCATTTTGTAAAAAATTAAAATTTGTAGATGAAGTGATTCAGCCCACGGTAGGGAAAAGCAAGGACAAGGGGGACCCACTGGCACCACCGCTTGTCTCTCACCCCCTCTGCTAGTGACAGCCGTCAGACAGGACCGCTACTTTACCGGCACCTCCCAGATCGTGCCTAACCTTGCTTTGGACCAATTCTCATTTGCTCCATAGAAACATGCAGGGAAGAGACTGTGGGGAATTTCGTTCCCCGCACAACCAAGTTTACGGTAGAACATTCCAGAACCACCTTAAAGGCAGGAAAACCTGGAAGGGGCAGAGAGGGAGTTATTTCCCCTCTCTCCAGTGCCTAAGCTGGCTACTCTTTTTGCTGTTTATCATTGAATGCTGATAACAGTGTTATACATAAGAGCGTTCTCAGGGATACACAGCTGGCTAGCAAGATTTCAGCCTGGCTTTTTAACTATGTTTGTGTGAACTCAAAGATAATGTTTACTTTAATGCACTCTGCTGCTTTCTGTGACAGGCAACCCCTAATGGTTTGTTTTCCTGTTTGTTTAATTAAGAAATAAAAATTTAAAAAAAACTAAGACTTAGTTGAAATACTGAGTTTTCATCATTCCTAGCACGTTGACACACTAGATAAACAGCCTTAAGAGACTGAGCAGGGACTCATGCAGACACTGCTTTTAGGTCCGAGGAAAATAACTCAGGCAGGGCTAGCAGAGCTTCTGTTTTTTTCTCAGCAGAGCTTGGACTTCCCTTTGGCTGTTACCAGAATTAGAAAGCTCGTCAGGGATGCTACAGATTATGCTTTAGAGTTCAGAGTTGATTAAGCCTTGGCTGCGTTTGTCTTCCTGAAAAGATTGTATACATTTTGAGGTCAAGAAGAAACTGCTCTTTTTTTTAGCAGGGGACAAAGCAGTGGGGGACCTTTCTTAGACTAGGTCAGCCTTTTATGGCCATTCTAATTTCATTTCCTGCTATTTTATTTCACCCAATAAATTTCCTTCCAGAAATCACCTAGATGTAGATTCACCAAGCCCACGTTTGAAGGAGAGGAGTTAAGTCCCTTTAAAAGAGAAGGGATTTAAGCCTTGAAGGGCACATATAACTTGGTGAAGCAATCCAGGCTTGGACTGTATCATAGGTATTTGAGTGTCTGAAATTTGTATTTTCTAGTCTCACTCTCAGTTTCTTGAAGTACTGCTTTAAACAATCATTTTAAGACAGTTATGATCAACATTTAAAGTTGATTTAAGAGATCTGATGATATTTTTTAAGAACACAGAAGTTTTACTAACCCAAGATTCTTAATAAAAATGTAATGGGTTTATGAATGAATTTAAAAGCCAGACTCTTCAAGTATGTAGATTAATAGGCTTTTTAGATTATTTGAAGAAGTAGATAAACTAATAAAATATGACTTTCTTCCTCCTCCTGAAAATGTATGACCTATCCAAGATTTCTGAAGTAATTAGTAAAATAATAAAGCTCTTCATAATTGAACAGCATTCAGAATGCTACTTAGAAAATTAGCTACAATATATTAAACTGTTTAAAATTACTTACCAGGAGACAGTTCTTAACAGAACCAAAACATAAGCACACACCAATAACCAGCTTTTATAAAAGAGGTACATCTTTAAATGTAAAATGGTTCAAGTAGGATTTGGAGGGATTAACCATGTGTAGTTTCATTACTTTTTTTCTTTGATCTCCATTTATCTTCTTTCTTTCTATTGATTCTGTATTCTTTATTGCCTGGTGTTTGCTTATTTTGAGTGATCTTTATTTTATGTGTGTTGTTATTACTTCTTCTGTGTTCCCCTAGGACCTCATGTATATTAGCCATTATAATATTTATCATGTTTATTGGCACAGTTTGCTTATCTGACTGACTCTTCACCATATCATAAATGTGTCTTTCCTGGACCTCAGATAAGGCTTACTGGGGAAAATAATGCGTTCTTCCCCTCAAAAATGACTGTGTGGCATTTTCAGTTCTTGAGATTTAACATGTATGGTATACTTTTCTATGATGTCCTTTACTAATTTTTTCTAAAAATCATTGAATTTTATCTGAGCAAATAAAAGGTGAGTTTTATATTTTTCCAGTCACCTCTATCCCTCGCATGTGCTGTTGACCTGAGTAAGTCTACACGTTGATTCTAAGCTTGAAGATTACCGCCCTTCAGGAACCCTTCTTTGCAGTGCTTCTCCCCTGCAAACTAGGACGGTGCTATATTTCTCTAACTTGTCACAGACTTTCATCACGGTGCTCAGTATCTGCATGTCACACCAATTGCTTTTTAAAATAGTCTCTACCCTCAGCTCATTATGAATGTTGTGAAAGCAGAGACCATACTTGTTTTGCTCATTGTAATATCCTTGGGACAGGGTTGGGTGAGGGGTGAAGAGTTCTCCCAGTAATTCTCATCTCTAGTCTACAACTTTGAGGCCCAAAGTGTAAAGTGAAAGCCTATTTGAAATAGGCTTTTAAGACGAAATGTCAGCAATTGAATGCTGGAAGCATCTTAAGCTGTGATTCTTATCAGCGGTTCCCATGCAGATGGGATCCCAGGTATCGTTTTTGGTTGATGTGTAATTCCACCTCTAATTCCGAACCTGAGGATCCCAGGTAGTCTGGCATCAGTTAAGTCATAGGCTTTAATGATTTGTTAATGAAACTGTTTTTCCGCAGAAACTGGGATTGATTTCTAGGCATCTTCTTTTATAAAAACAAAAGCAAAAAAGAGATTGAAGTGCTGTCTTGGAGGCACAAAACTAATTTTCAGATGCAGTTATGTGCTAGAGAAGTGATGAGGTCTTTTTAGTGAACACGATATTTTGGTTCTTCACGGGTCTGTTTGCCATCAGAATCTTAGTTTAGAAATGATTTTGAAAATAGTTCTATTCTGGCTAGGTGCAGTGGCTCCTGCCTGTAATCCCAGCACTCTGGGAGACTGAGGTGGAAGGATTGTCTGAACCCGGAAGGAAGAGGCTGCAGTGAGCCGAGATCGGGCCACTGCGCTCCAGTCTGGGTGACAGAGTGAGACCCCGACTGGAAAAACAGTTGACTGATTGATTGATAGCGAGGACCCGGAAGCCTGGAAAGCGAAGCTGTCGTTTTCGGTAGCTGAGCTGAGGTTTGTAGGCTGGTGTGAGGCCTGATCCTTCATCCAGCCCTGTTTCCGCTGTGCCGTGTGACCTGCTTCGAGCGCCTGTTCTCTCTTTGCCTTCAGCTTCCAGAGCTAAACTCAGCATGATCAACACCATGTCCAAAATCCGCGGCCAGGAGAAGGGGCCAGGCTATCCTCAGGCGGAAGCGCTGCTGGCAGAGGCCATGCTCAAGTTTGGAAGAGAGCTTGGAGACGATTGCAACTTTGGTAACGAGTGCTTTCTCGCCTTTCGATTCTTTTTTTGCCCATGGGGATTTGGGTGCCAGTGAGAAACCCTGTGGGAAGCTAGTTAGGCTGTTTTGTGTTTTGCTTTCATGGTTTTGATCTTGTATATGTGGACCAACATTATTTATTTATTTATTTATTTGCGTTGGAGTCTCACTCTGTCGCCCAGACTGGAGTGCAGTGGCCACTCCCGGCCACCGCAGCCTCGACCTGCTGGGCTCCGGCGATCCTTCCGCCTCAGCTTTCCAAGTAGCTGGAACTACAGGCGCACGATACCACACCTGGCTAATTTTTGATTTATTGTAGAGATGAGGCCTCGCCAAGCTGCCCAGGCGGGTCTCGAACCCGCAGCCTCAGGCGATCCACTCACCTTGGCCTCCCAAAGCACTGGGATTACAGGCTGAGCCACCGAGCCCAGCCAAAATAATTTTTTTATAGTTGTTTTATCATTTTTAAGATGATTTGTCTTAGGAGTTTTCTTTTCTTTTTCCCTGATGAGAACCCAATCTTTACAACAGCTTTGGTTGACATATCCAGATGCCTTGGCACTTTATGTTGGGTGAGTTTGGCAGTAACTGAGACACAGTGTTCAGTCACAATTGGCATGATTCAATGCCCTGCCACATGGGCTTTCTCTTACATTTTGGCTGGTTTGTGTGTGGTACCCAATTTTACTGCCCCAGGTGAGATATAGTTTATTATCTCACTCCCTCGCTTCTGACACTCAGCTGCCACACTTAGCACCTTCTGTTTTCACCCCTTATAATATGAAATTTTAATGACGGTTCTTCCTGGTTGAGCCCTGCTCTCCATGCTGGAATGTCTTTCTGCTAAACACATTGGTTTGAACTGGTCCCATATTAGGGAAAGCTAGTACTTACAGGAGAGGGCAAGGAACTTCTCAAACTGCCTTTTGAAAGAAAAGCAAAATGTTACATTCTTGATACAAGGGATATCCCCCCTGCCAGGGTCATTGAGTGTCTTGCCCAGAATGAACTATCTTTAAGTAGACAAGGCAACAGTCTCAAAAGGGCATTATGCATTCTCTCTTGCCTGTGTTATCCTCAGAAGACAGGTGGTAATCTCTGGGTTTTCATTCTCTTTAACATAAAAAGAGTTTCATTTTCTCCTTCCAGGCCCAGCGCTTGGTGAGGTGGGGGAGGCCATGCGGGAACTCTCCGAGGTGAAAGACTCTTTGGATATGGAAGTGAAGCAGAACTTCATCGACCCCCTTCAGAATCTTCATGATAAAGATCTTAGGGAAATTCAAGTATGTGCAACTAGTCCTGTGGAAAGTGGTCATCTGAAATTATACAAATGCTGATGCCCATTTCCTTGACAAGTCATTTGTAGCTTACCGGGTACATGAGTTGCAAAACAATGCAGCAAGACAAATTGAGTGAAACCAGAAATGTTATTAATACCTTTCGACCTACTGTTACGACTGTGCCATTCGTGAGTGTTGTGGTTGACTTCTTGATGCTCAATTTTCACATGGAATAACTTTATTCACACTTTTCCTCCAGAAGGATATTATTATTGTCTGATAATACATAACTTTATTAACTATTCTATGGTTTGCTGGACTGATTTCACCCCCTAAAATGTTAGTTGTACCAGTTGTTAGCTTAAATATATGGTTATTTTCTCTCTCTCTCTCTCTATATGTGTGTGTGTGTGTGTGTGTGTGTGTGTTTTTTATATTTTCATAATGGTTATCAGGATCGAAGAAGAATAGCTGACTCTCTTGTTTCCAAAACATGTAGAGCAGTTGAGCTATTTCTAGTAAGTTCATCTGGCATTGTCGCTAACTGGATGTGAAATGTTTGCTCATTCATCCAACAAATATTTGTTGAACTTTTTTGAAACTTTATTTTATTTACTGTAAAATGGTCTTTCTTAACTTGGACTCAGACTCACCCTAAATCCAAAATATTACTCTGACCCCAGTTCTCCACTGTGCAGCTGACTTGTAAGCGGAACTGTTTTAAAAGAACATGCCTCCCAAAGGAACAAACATTTAGTTTAGATCAGGGCATGGACCGGGGACAGGAGATGAAGTAGAAGGGAAAGTCTAGGATATTATTCTTCCTCCTTTCCTTCCCATTGCTTCACCACTACTAACTCTGTTTTCCTCTCCTTCCCTTCTATTCCGTACCCACCCAGGACCAAGAGAGAATCCAGCATTTCCTGCCACTCGTTAATAGTAAGGATGGCAGCTATCAGAAACACACACACACACACACACACACACACACACACACACACATGCATACATACATGTTCTAGATTTGGAAAACTACTCTCCTGCCTGGTCACTAGAGGTTGGCAGGGGCTGGGACGGTAGCTACCACTCAGCCACCTAGTGGGGGTGACGCAAGGAGGGAGTTGAAACTCAGCATGGAGCACTAGGTGTAATCCTTTCTAAGGTCTCTTCCACGTTAGGCTTTGTGCTGGAGTTTTACTGTGTGTCAAGTGAGAGTCTTCCACCAAATCAATAGTTCCCTAGAAAGCCACATCAGTCAGCTGGAGCAAGCTTAAGATACAGATTCCTGGACCCTGGATATTGATTTAGGTGATGGGGAATCCATATGTGTAATAAGCAACTTAGGTGAGTCTGACAGACTGAATGTTTTGAAAAGCAAGAATGCTGTCCTTTCACACTTCATTTTAAGGGGTGTATTTTTTCCTCTGCCTTCTCATGAGATGCCATTTCTCTTGAAGATGGTGACTGTGGGCCCTGTGAGTGTGTCCTTTCAGAGTGTATGGGATGTGTTACACGTCTTCCCGGCTTCTGTGGATGGGATGGAAAGGCGCAGTCCAGCTTGACTTTAGCCAATCAAGGCCAGAAAATAAAGAGCACTGATATTTCTTATACTTTTTTTTGGTTCTTAACAATTTCAAAACATATTTCCCCATATTTAGCCTTTGAAAGCATTTGCCCCACTGATGTGTGTTTCTTTATTTCTCTGGTGATATTATTTTTTAAAACTTAGCTTATCCTGTTGGGGAAGTTAACATAATGTGAGCTACACACCGGCCTTTTCCATAAGCCCTTTCAAAGCGCATTCCTGTCCGTCACTTTTTCAGCATCACCTAAAAAAGTTGGAGGGTCGACGCCTGGACTTTGATTATAAGAAGAAACGACAAGGCAAGATTCCAGATGAAGAACTTCGCCAAGCTCTAGAGAAATTTGATGAATCTAAGGAAACTGCTGAGTCAAGCATGTTCAATCTCTTGGAGATGGATGTAAGTGATTCTCTTGTGGTGTTTAATTTAATCTTATCATTGAGGTACAAAAGCAATGTGTTAAAGGGCATATAATTAAAAGCATTAGTATCTGATTCCACTATGTGATATGGACTTCAGTGGATATTTCCTTTAGATAATTTTAATTGATAAAGTGGACTGGAAAATGGCAAAGGTTTTTTTCTGTGTTTTTGTAGTTTGATTTAACCAGAATTTGTCTGTCAGTGAATCTTAAATTACAGATGCTCCTTGACTTCAGTTGGGGTTATGTCCTGATAAATCCACTGTAAGTTGGAAATATTGTTCAGTCAAAAAAGGCAGTTAGGGTAGGTACGGTGGCTCATGCCTATAATCCCAGTACTTTGGGAGGCCAAAATGGGAGGATTACCTGAGGCCAAGAGTTTGAGACCAACCTAGGCAACATAGTGAGATCCCATCTCTAGCAAACAAAACAAAAAAAGTCTGGCATGGTGGCATGTGCCTGTAGTCCCAGCTACTCAGGAGACTGAAGCAGGAGGATTCCTTGAGCCCAGCAGTTCAAGGCTCTAGCGGACTATGATCATGCCACTGTACTCCAGCATGGGTGACAGAACAAGACCCTGTCTCTAAAAAAAAATTAAAATTAACATTAAAAAAAAATACAGTTAATGTAGCTAACCTATCAAACATCACTGGTTAGTCTCATCTAACTTAAACATGCTTAGTACAGTTATATTAGACAAAATCATCTAATAATAAGCCTAACTTATAATAAAGTGTTGGGTAGCTCATGTAATTTATTGAATAGTGCACTGAAAGTAAAAAACAGAATGGTTGTAGGGGCGCTCAAAGTTTCTACTGAATTTGAATTACATGAACCATCATAAAGTCAAAAGATGATAAGGTGAACAGCCATTAAGTCGAGGACCATCTGTTACCAACAGTGGGAAGTTGATGTTTCTGATAATCTCCGTATAAATTCATTAGCTTAAAAAATGCTCTGTTGAAATATAGCACAGATTGACTTTAGCTTATAAAAGAATATTTACTAAAAACCATTCAGAATTAGGTGCCCCACATAGATTAAGATGTTCTCTGTTTTGAAGAAAAGTTGACATTTTCTTTGAAAAAGTAATTTTCGTTGAGGTTGATGATGTTATGTAGGTATGACCTCTGGGACATAGGTTAGGTAGGTTTTTTTTTATTTTTTTTCATCTTTTTATTTTGTATGTTTGAAGACAATTGAAACAGACTTTTTTTTAAAAAGATAGTATCTTGCTTTGTCACCCAGGCTGGAGTGCAGTGGCAGGGGTTAGGTAGTTTTAAAGCTGTTGTCATAATTCCAGAGTACAAAATTATCATTCAGTGTTACATTCTGTTGAGTTTTTTAAGCTTGGAAACTGTGAGAGTAATTCTTCCTTCTGACCACTTGTGTGTTGTATCTGTCAAGCCAGCTTTCCTGTCCTTGTTCCTTTCTACCTCTCCCACCATTGGTTGCCAAGATACCTATAAAGTCCTTATGTACCTATTACTTGTATTAGTCAAGGTTCTTCAGAGAAACAAAGCCAACAGGACATAGATATATGAGAGGAGATTTATTAGGGGAATTGGCTCATGTGATTATGGAGGCTGAGACGTCCCATGACATGCTGCCTGCAGGTTGAAGAGTCAGGGAAGCCAGTAGTGTTGACTGAGTCCCAGTCCAAAGACCTGAGAACCAGGGGGGCCGATGGGGTAACTCTCAGTCTGAGGCTAGAGGCCTGAGAACCCAGGAAGGGTGTAGGAGGGCATTGGTGCAAGTCCCAGCGTCCAAAGGTCATCGAGTCTGGAGTTCTGGTGTCTGAGAGCAAGAGAAGATGGGTATCCCAGAAGAGAGAGAAAAAGAGAGAGAGAGCAAATTTGCCTTTCCTCTGCCTCTTTGTTCTATCTGGGTCCTATATTGGAAAATATAGTTTATTTAGAAAGTAAATGAGAGAGAGAGAGGCTGATAGACAGAAAGACAGACAGAAGATTCACCTCTCCAAGGGAGGAGAGAGGACCAAGTGGATAGTGCCTGCCCACATGGGGTAAGGGCGGATCTTGCTTACTCCGTCCACTGATTCAAATGCCAGTCTCTTCCAGAAGTACCCTCCCAGATGTACTGCTATCTGGGTGTCCCTTGATTTAGTTGACACCTAAGAGGAATACTGTGGGCATGGGGTGACCTGAATCACGGTGCTCATTGCCTGGACCCAGGGTCCCACTCCCAAACTCAGGGAACAACATTACCTCTGTGGACCTGGAGGCTACAACTCAGCTAGATCACAACATGAGATGCAAAATGAAGAGGAATTAAGGATGCTTAGAATATTAGAACTGGAATGAACTCCAGACTGTCAAGTTTTTTTTACAGTTTTTGCTCAGAGAGCACAGAAGAGTTTTCATCATACCATGCTGCCTCTCATGGTACCTTATATGAGAAATCAGTAGTCACATTTTTATCAACAGCACTAATACTAAGCCTGAAGTTACAGGGAACAAAGGGTCCTTTGGTCAATGCAGCCCTTTAAAAAAAAATAGAGAATCCATCAAAGAAACCAAATCCTAAATATCAGGTTGTAGCTAAGCAAGACTGTTTTGTGTGAGAGCTACATGACCTTCACCTTCATGAGGATCCTTCCTAATGTTGCTTCTCCTCATGGTACTGATATGCATGGTTCCAAGCTTGAGGATGCTTTCGTATGCTTCATTGATTTGCAACCTGCCCAGTGATCTATCTCCCCCTGGCTCACCACACATTCGTTGGCATCACCAAGCACCGGGCTGTATGTTAAGGGCAGCTCTCTTGTGTGTATGAGGCAGTGGCAGCTGCTGAAGGGTGGTAACCCAGTAACTAAGGTGAGATTTCCCCCACGGCTCTGCAGATCGAGCAAGTGAGCCAGCTCTCGGCCCTCGTGCAAGCCCAGCTGGAGTACCACAAGCAGGCCGTCCAGATCCTCCAGCAAGTCACAGTCAGACTGGAAGAAAGGTATTTTGTAGTTTCCTGCACTTCACGTTTGCATTTCCTTGCTGTAGAGTGATGTGTAAAGACGTAGACATAACAGGCAGAATGCGTTTGGAGACAAACGCCTGCCAGAATTCCTCTTTAGCCTACGCGGGCACCTTGTGGGTTGTTGTGATTTCATTTTGTCTTCTGCTTTGTTTCATGTTGTGCTCTTGCATCTAGTCCTGTGTTTATGAGAGGTCGATACTTGGATTATATTTTGGCTGCCATAGATCAGATGCTGGGATGCTGCTGACGATAATGAATGCGGCTTGCTGAGCAAACAATCTTTGTGGGTCCTGAATACATATCGTTGTCCATCCTGAAGCAGCTCTGTTGACTGAGCATTTTTAGCCTCAGCCAATAGATGAGCAAACTGAGGCTCAGGGAGGTGAAGTAACTAGCACAGGGTCGCTCTGTCGTACAACTGGGGCTCACAACCAACCACCACCTATCTGAAAGCCTGTTTCTTTTCACACCTTGTGCTTCTCTCTCTTTTTTTTAGATTGGAAAATAAAGTTTATTTAGAAAGTAAATGAGAGCAAGAGAGAGACTGACAGAAAGACAGACAGAGATTCACCTCTCCAAGGTAGGAGAGAGGACCAAAACTTAGGAAACATGGCAGCAGCCATGGCTCAAAGAGCATATGGTCACACCAGAGTTGAGCAGAGCCATAGCTGTGCTTCTCTTGATGGTGGGAAAGTCCTCCACCATCAGAGAGAGCTGCTTCCCTGTGCCTTTTCCGGCTTCTAGAATGCACCTGCGGTACTGCCATCATTTTCTGTGTGATTGGGGCTTCCTGATGTTGGGGGGCATAGCCTGCACAGTTTTGTGCAGTGGCTCTGAGTTAGAATATGTGTTATTTTGCTTAGCCAGCCCCATTAAGCAGGATGATTTTGTTTAACATAAATACCTCAAAGGATCACCTCAGCAGCCTTTATCGTCAGGTCATGGCCAGAGTCTACACGCATAGTATAGGCTCTAATCATATGAAACCACACTATTGGAAATGTCGCCACTTTCCATTGTTTCCATCTGACTGGTCTCTTCTTGGTATCTTTTCTGATTAGTGCTTTGATTATATATCTTCCTTCAGCACACCATTGTGGAAATGTCTGTGACACTGACACCTTCAGAAAGATTTTAAAACAGTATACTTCAAAACACTAAATAACTGGGCATAGTGGTTCACACCTATAATCCCAGTACTTTGGGAGGCTGAGGCAGGAGGATCGCTTGAGCCCAGGAGTTAGATCAGCCTGGGCAGCAAAGTGAGACCTCGTCTGTATATTAAAAAATAAAAATAAAAAAACTTAGCCAGGTGTGGTGGTGCATGTTTATAGTCCCAGCTAAACAGAAGGCTGAGGTGGAAGGATCATCTGAGCCCAGGAGGCCAAGGTTGCAGTGAGCCATAATTGTGCCACTGTATTCCAGCCTGGGTGACAGAGTGAGACCCTGACTCAGAAGAAACAAATTGCTAAAGAAATACGATGTGTCTTTGTAACATCTGTGTAGCATGAAGGGACCACTTTTTTCCTCTGAAATATATTCTAAGTCTGTCATTCTGTAGCCACTGTACCCTAAACTCTCCCCATCCTTGCAAATCTCTTACATATTTTGCTTCCTGAATATTTGAGGCTGTGGAAAATCTTTCTTTTTTTTTTTTTGAATTGGAGTCTCACTCTGTCGCCCAGACTGGAGTGCAGTGGCCGCTCCCGGCCACCGCAGCCTCGACCTGCTGGGCTCCGGTGATCCTTCCCGCCTCGACCTTCCAAGGAGCTGGAACTACAGGCGTGTACTACCACGCCTGGCTAATTTTTTGATTTATTGTATAGATGAGGTCTTGCCAAGTTGCCCGGGCAGGTCTTGAACCCGCAGGCTCAGCCAATCCATTCACCTCAGACTCCCAAAGTGCTGGGATTACAGGCTGAGCCACTGAGCCCGGCTTGAAGCTGTGGAAAATCTTTAGGGCTGTGTGCAGAGTATACTTTTTGGCCTTCCTGCTTTCCTTCTGTCTTCCATCATTCCTTTTCTAAATCTCAGACTACCCACTCTTCTCAAAGCACGACATATTTCCTCCTTCACTCTCTCCCACCCTTCCCATGCTCCACGTGGAATAGCTTTCTTCCACATGCTCCTCTGGATACCACTCCCATGTATCTTATACCGGTTTCCTTAAACCTTTTCCACCTCCCCCGTGGAGAGGTGGACTCCTCCCCACCCTCACCCCCTGCCTCACCCCTCCGTTCCTTTGGCTTCTGTAGAAGTCTCTGTAACGGCACTTACTCTAATTGATGATGATCAGTTTGTGTTCTGCTGACCCTACAGACCATAACTGTGTCTTCTTTCATCCTTGAGTTCCTGGCACCTAGCACAGCGCATGTTTGCATAGAGGGTTCTGAATACATGAGGGAGGGAGGAAGGGGGGCGGTTGAGAGAGAATGAAGACAGTGGCCAGAGGGACATCACCAAACGCTCAGGCCTGCACATGCAAGGAAACTAAGGGTCCTCTTCCAGTTTCCCATGCTTTGCCATGGTAGATTGGTGGGTGACCCAAGCATTTCCTGAATCCTGCTTTTTCTTTTCACTTCTTAATTGGCTGCACCATCTTTCCCCCTCTTTTCTTTTCAATGCAGAATCAGACAAGCTTCATCTCAGCCTAGAAGGGAATATCAGCCTAAACCACGAATGAGCCTGGAGTTTCCAGCTGACAGTACTCAGCCCAATGGAGGCCTTTCCCACACGGGCACTCCCAAGCCTGCAGGTAAGGTGCTTAGACCTGCAGTCCCTGCTGCATGGCCCTTGGACACATCCATTGACCCTTCCGCAGAAATTCTAGGCGCAATTCAGCCTGGCCGCATAGGAAATATGCAGTCATACATTCCTTACAGAATGGTTTGTCAGGGGAAACTCTATTAAAGGATTCCTTTTTTTAAAAATTGACTTTTATTTTCCCTCATTTTCTTTCTTCTCTATAAAACTTCCTTTGTATGTCTCTTTTCCCTCTCACTCTCAATCATGAGTACACCTTAACTCATTTGAATCTGACCCTCCTTTGTGATTGTAGCTCACCTTTACCCCTCAGCTTGGTGCTGAGAGTATGTCTTTTTTTCCTGTCATTTCCCTCTGAAATCCAGCATGGGTGAGAATGCATGCCCCAGGCTGCTTGTGCCTGTATACATTCACATATAACCCACAGACAGCACGTTCCAGGAGCGTGCTGAGCTGGATTTTTTGAGTCACAGGAGCATATGGCTGAGTATATTTGCAGAAGGATATATTTTGCATCTTAACACCTGCTAGGATTCCTTTCCCACGTTCCCCCACGCCCCCGCCCCTGACTAGCTCATCGTGCTGTGGTGCTGAGGTTGGTGTAGTAAAACCAAAAGTATACCTTCTCTCGTGAATAGTGTCACGTCCCCAATAATGCGATCATCTTTCCGTTGTCACGATTGCTGTCCACCCACTGCATGCAGATTAGATAACAACCTTAACATTTTCTCGGTTGAAGAAATCCATCCTGGATTTGGATTTTAAAGCTGTGCAGCTTATCTTTTCCCTGTATCCCCGGGGCTTGATGTTTTTACAGTAGGAAAAGTTTTCTAAGATGCTTTCAGGAGGCTGTGAAGAAAAAAAAAAGTGAGGCCGCAGCCAGCCGGGGGAGCTGTCTCTCCTTTGTGCCCAGCACCCCCAGGGTGTGGCAGACATAGCAGGGGCCCCCGGAAGGGGGCTGGCTCCCAGCACCTATCACATAGATGATGTGCCCCTGGGCTCCTCCCTGCCCAGGAACCAGCCGTAGATTTCACTTTCCATTTGGAGATTCATTCATTTGCTGCCTTCTCCACATCAAAAATAAATGATAGGCCGGGCGCGGTGGTGGTTCACGCCTATAATCCCAGCACTTTGGGAGGCCGAGGTGAGAGGATTGCCGGAGCCCGTGGGTTCAAGACCAGCCTGGGCAACTTGGGGAGACCTCATCTCGACGATAAATCCAAAAAAATTCGTTGGGCATGGTGGTGCCGCGTGCCTGTAGTTCCAGCTACTTGGAAGGCTGAGGCTTGGAAGGACCGCCTGAGCCCAGCAAGCCGAGGCTGAGGTGGCCATGAGCGGGCCACTGCACTCCAACCCAGGCTGCAGAGTGAGACTCTGATTCAAAAATATATATCAATATAGAAAACGAATGAATGAATGAACGAATGAAAGATGTCATTTCCTCTCTAAGCCACTGAAAGGGCATGGGAGCTATGTGCACTTGTCGAAGCCTACTTCCATGTGTGTATGCATGCTGTGTTAATAGATTTGGTCATTTAGAATAATCCCTCTGAAGATGGGATTCTGCCCTTCATCATTTTACTCATGGTAGAGTACATTGTTTATATATGCCATGGCTGTAGTGCACCCCTTATATTTATCTATGCAACAATTTGCCAAGTATAAATTATATACTTGGTTACACAGCCTCACTTAACAGCCACAATAATAATGTGAAGTAAGTCCTACTGTTACTTCCGATTTCAGACAAAGAAAGTGAGAGTGGAGCCGGGCTTGGTGGCTCAGCCTATAATCCCGTGCCTTTGGGAGGCTGAGATGAGTGGATTGCCTGAGCCCGCGGGTTCGAGACCTGCCTGGGCAGCGAGACCTCATCTCTACAATAAATCAAAAAAATCAGCCAGGCGTGGTAGCGCATGCCTGTAATTCCGGCTACGCGGAAGGCTGAGGCGGAAGGATCGCCGGAGCCCAGCAGGTCGAGGCTGCGGTGGCCGGAAGCGGCCACTGCACTCCAGTCTGGGCGACAGTGAGACTCCAACTCAAAAAAAAAAAAAAAGAAAGAAAGTGAGAGTGAAGCACCTTATGCAAGGTCACACAGAGTAAGAACTTGAACCAGAGTTGTATATATATATATATTTTAACCACATGACAGCAGTCTTCCAGAGGCTGAGTTATTATTTTAAAGAGTGAGAACTGCACTGTTCCACTGAGGTTGCGTTGCGTGGTCTATGTAGTGAACTGGACCATTTCAGACCTAGCATGGAAGAATTCTGGCCGTGTCATGTTGGTAACCTATATCACGGTAAACATTTTAAGTTTCTGGATCTGTCGTCTCTGAGCATCATCGGGAAGGCAAATCTTGATGAACTTTGTTGTTGTACGAATCACAAGAATAGAGGTGACCCTTTTCATACCAGAGACAGAAGCAGGAATATCCAACAACGGCCAACGATCCGAGAAAGCCTCTGAAGACTGGTAGAGGGCAAGATGCCCATGCAGTGGACACTGGGGTCTAGTAGGCCACAGGAAGCTTCAGCGGGAAGAGGAATGGTGGAGGAAGGGCCAGGTGGGGGCCGCAGGTGGTCGATGCTGTGAGTTAAATCCCCTTGTCCTTTTGTGTTCTTCTCTCCTGCCTTTGCTCCCAGGTGCCCCGATGGATCAGCCCTGCTGCCGAGCTCTGTACGACTTTGAACCTGAAAACGAAGGGGAGTTGGGCTTTAAAGAGGGTGATATCATCACACTCACTAACCAAATTGATGAGAACTGGTATGAGGGCATGCTGCATGGCCAGTCGGGCTTCTTCCCCATCAATTATGTGGAAATTCTGGTTGCCCTGCCCCATTAGGGTGTTGCGCTGTCTGGCTCGCCTACTCTTGACCAGATAGTTACGGTTAACCACTGCTTTGGTAATGCTGCTTATAACACATCCCAAGTGCAGGCCGCAGTGGTCCACGTCATCCAGCCCCACCAAGTGTCTTCGGTTGACTTTTGTGCTCCCACAAGAGTCACGGTGATGGGTGGTATCTTCTTAGCCCGGTGGGCATGGCATGTGCTTTCTAAACACCATCTGAGACCAGCCAGTCACAGAGCTGCTGTCGACACAGTTCTCAGGAGGCTATGGTTTCTTAGAATATGACCATCAGCCACATCACAGAAAAACCATCCTACCGAAGATATTGTCGATCACCCAGGGGCCAGCTCCAGGCCTCAAGTTCTCCATGCAAAGGGGAGAACATTTTTGCTTTTAAACACTGTCCCTTCCCAAACCCCGGAGTCCCAGAATTGTGCAAGAAAGCCTCCCTCACCAGCACATTGTCTACTGGTCTGAATGACTCCGTCTCCTGATGCAGCAGTGGAAGAGTGTTCATTGTGAGTTCAAAGCATCCTCTGAAAACAGTCATCTTTGTCCTTCACACTTAGCCTGTTTCCGAGGTGCAGCCTGTTTTCTTCCCTCCTTATTATTAAAACCAGACGGGTGGTTCCAGTTTATTTTTAAGTAAGACAATTAGCAGTCAGCATAATGTGGGAGAGGCTGAAAGGAGAAAATTCTCCGTTGTGAGGAACTGGGAAGAAATCTGGTTTCCAAGCTTCAATTTCTTGCTGTACAGAAACTACGTATGTATTTAGGCCATTTCTGAGCACGGGGAAGGGAGAACAGATATCTTCACTTCAGTTTTATTTATGAATTATATGTTTCATGCATCCATTTTGTCACAGAGACACAAGGAGAAAAACGCTAGTAACCACTTCCCACTAGTTCACAGTCCAAGAATCCGTAAACACCTTTCCTTTCCACTTTTACCTTGTGTTCTTTGAACATCATTTGTGCATATTCTGCCCTCAATGAGGACCAAATAAAGATGACTTTTGTGCTTAGCAGTTTAAGGTGTGTGGCTGCATATGCAAAACTCTCCCAGTTCCGTTGCTACTTTGACTTGTGTCCTTCGATTCCATCTTCATTTTGTGCACAGTGCTGTGTGTAAGCCTATCGGCGTTTTTTCTCTTTTTTCTTTTCTTCTTCGTATCAGTCATGAAAGTTCTGTTAGGCCTCCAGAGTTCTATTTATCTAGCTGTACAGACTCTTCCGAGGTTTAGTGTGCTGCTTCCAGTGTGCCACCCTGGGTAGTGGATCCTGTGGCGTGAAAGGCAAATCTTTACTGCTTCATGTGTAAACTCTCTCATCATGGGAAGCATCGCTGTTTCCAATAAATATTGCTCAAGACGGAACCGAAGGCTCTGCTCCTCCATTTTGTGTCAGTTCTTTGGGTCCGGGGGTGGCGGGGGTGGGGGGGCGGAGGGCTCGTTTCAGTCTCCATTGCTTTCGGATGCAACCAAACCAGATCTGACTCCAGCCTCCTGTCTGTCTCTCTATGTGTTGGAAAAGTTCTAACAGCAAAGAGCGAGCTAGCCTGGACACCAGTACCGTCTTGGGAACCCCAGGAAGGAGCAGAATTTGAGAGAAGATTAAAAAAAAAAAATTGGGGCCAGGAGGGCTTCCAAAAGGTAAATGGGATGTCATGAACGGTGATATCATCAGACAGATGTTAGGAGGGGTGAATAAAATATACCATTTCGTCTGTTTTCTTTCATACTGAAAGGGAAAGAAGTAGACATGGAAATGCAGTTTGGTCAAAAGCCAGTATTCTTTTCTCTTGGTGTGTATATGTGGGGTATGGGTGCGTGGGGGTAAAAGGGGGAGGAGTGCACACAGAATATCGTATTTCCTGAGCTCCAGAGGGAATAAATGTGTTCTTTATGTATTAGGTGCCCTTTCTATTCTTTTATGCTAGGCCAGTCATTCAGGTTTTCTAATCTAACATGAATAGTTTTAATATATTAAGTTCTGTATGTGAACTAGTCTCACATGAAAATAGTATTTCTGCTAGCTGCATGAGTTCTGGAGTATCACAGATCTTTATTTTTATTTTATTTTTATTTTTTATTGAGTTGGGTTCTCACTCTGTTGCCCAGGCTGAAGTGCAGGGGCATGATCTTGACAGTCATGGCTTACACAGCCTCAATCTTCTGGGCTCAGATGATCCTTCCGTCTCAGTATCCTGAGTAGCTGGGACTACAAGCGTGCACCACCATGCCTGGCTAATTTTTCATTTTTTAAACTTTTTGTGTAGAGACAAGATTTCACAATGTTGGCTGGGCTCGGTGGCTTAGCCTGTAATCCCAGCACTTTGGGAGGCTGGGCAAGAGGATTGCCTGAGCCCATGGGTTCAAGACCCACCTGGGCAACTTGGTGAGACCTCGTCTCTACAATAAAAAAAAAAAAAATTAGCTGGGCGTGGTACCGCGCACCTGTAGTTCCAACTACTTGGAAGGCTGAGGCGGAAGGATGGCCGGAGCCCAGTAGATCGAGGCTGCGGTGGCCGGGAGCGTGCCACTGCCCTCCAGCCTGAGTGACAGAGTGAGATGCCAACTCAAAAAAAAAAAAAAAAAAGATTTCACAATGTTGCCCAAGCTGATCTCAAACTCCTGGGCTCAAGCAATCCACCCACCTCGGTCCCACGTTGCTGGAATCATAGGTATGAACCGTGGCATCTGGCCACAGATCAGTTTTTTAAAACCAATTTTTAAAAGAAGATAACCTAACATTATTGTGAATGTCGAAAATAAAAAAATCCAAAGCTAAACTATTAGAATAAATAGGCAAATTTAATAGGATTACTATATCTAAAATGAATATACAGAACTTTTACTTCTGTATATCAATAACAATCAATTAGAAAAATGTAGTTTTAAAAATATGTAATTTACATCAGAAGTTTTTCATCAGAAGAAGCCCATGCTGGCTCATGTATGTAATCCCTGTACTTTGGGAGGCAGAGGCGAGAGGATTGCCAGATCCCAGGGTTTTAAGACCAGCCTGGACAACATGGAAAAAGAAAAAAAAAAAATTAGCCAGAGGTGGAAGGATCACCTGAACTCAGCAGGTTGAGGCTGCAGTAGTCGTGAGCGTGGCACTGCACTCCAGCCTGGGCGGCAGAGTGAGACTCCAACTCAAAGAAAAAAAAAGCCCATAGGTTCATATCAAGCAAGATTGTACAAGATCTCATCGTAGAAAGTTATAAAAAATGTTTGGTGGTGGGGGGAAGCTTAGTAAGTGAAGAGATACTCTATATTTTCAGATTGGAAAAATGAGTCTTGTGAAGGTATAATTATTCCCAAATTTACCTCTCAGTTCAGTGCAGTTTCACCCAAAATCTCAGGAAGTTCGGTTCTGTGTGTTTGAGAATCGACACGTTCCATTTTCAAACCTGTTGCAAAATATGTGAAAAAGCAAAGCAATTGTTTTTCTTGAAAAAGAACAAAGTTGGAGAACTTACTCTTTCTAGAAGTAAACATCATAAAGTTCTAATAGTTAAGATAGTATGCTACTGATGCAAGGTAGGAGAAGTGATCTGTACAGAATAGTGGGTCCAGAAAGAGACATGAAGGGGAACTCAAAGAACCCTAGAATTTATTTATAAAAAATTGTGTATTCTTACATGTTTAAACTTCAGTTGCCTTCCAAGTACTCTCCATTTGATGCAATACACCTGTTGGGATGCTTTCTCCACTGCTCAAAACAGATTTTGAACTCATCAGTTTGGATGCCTTTTATTGCTTCTGCTGTTTTTTGTTTCACCTTTTACACATCAACAAAATGTTTCCCTTTGAGAACTTTTTTCATCCAGGGAAGCAAACAAACAAAAAAGTAGCTCAGGGTGAGATTGGGTGAATAGGGAGGATGGGGCATGAAGTCATGCTGTTTGGGGTCAAAAACTGCTGAACAGTCAGTGCAGTGTAGGCAGGTGCTCTCGTAAATCACCCAGCATGAAATGGGCAAATGCGTTGAAAGAATCTCAAATAAGTAATTGACCGAAGCTGAATGCAGCTTCTTACAACAACTCTAGCTGGTACATTGATGCCAATGGGTTCCTAGAACACTTAGCTAGCGGGGGAAACCTGTACTATATAAGAGACCTGCCCCCCAAAGGATAATTTAGGTTTTCTGGGGTCCCCTCTCATACATGCATTTGACCATATTTGAACCAAAAGCATGGTACATTCATATCAACTGTGCCTGTTTAATATCAGTTCCACAACCCCAAAGGCAAACACCCAGCAAGGCCCTGCACCAAATACAGTAGTCTCATGAGTCAATGGCAAATGAGACAAAGATGCCGTGACCACAAATTCCAGGAAGATTGTAATCTTTAGGAGACCCTTACTAATACCCAGATTCAGGATTGCTTGAATTCCTTATTTTTACTGAAGTATAATACCTTATTACAAAGCTTTAAATATAGAAAAGATCAGGCATCTCTGTGGACCACCACCACTAGTAGTTGAATTTACCCCAAAACACTTGCTCTCCTAAGTCTAATCACAAGAACAAACTGTAAAAGAAGCAAACAGAACTAAATTAACCTGAAGTGGTTCAGCGGGGGCAATTGTTTCTTTGTATCTTTCTTGCAGAAAGAGAATACGCTTAAGAAAACAGTTATTTTCACTTAGTTTCTCTGTGCTATAAATAGACAACAAGAATGACATGACCAAGAATGGAATCTTCTCTGTGGCTGTGTATAGTGTACAGCGTACAGCATACCTTCTGGAATGTCTAGGAAATCAGGATTGTCTAGGAAATCAGGATTAGCCCAAGGCTTTATTTTCAAGACAGCTTCTAGCATTCTGAAGGAAACTATGTGGGCACTTGTTTCTTCTACTTGGATCCCAGGAAACAATATGTGGGCACTACAAAGCCTGTGTTTTATTAGATGAAGAACTGCTTAACATGCAGACTGCCATCCATCCGGGGATGGTAGGTTGGCGTAGGACATGACAAGCAGGAGGCAGCCAAAACCTCTGTTAAGAACTCTGGGTGGCTGAAGACCTAGAGAGGGAAGCAGTTTCTAGGCCCAGCTATTGGGGACTTGTGAGCCCCTAGTTTAAAGGAGCTGTCAGACCACCAAAACCTCAACTTTAGCAGAAGAATCTAAATCACAAAAATAAGAGCCCAAATATAGGACATAGAGGAAATTTTTTAAAATTTTTTTTAAAAATAAAGGAGCTGTCAAGGAAGAGAACAAAACTATTTTTTAAGGGCCTATTGAAGGTTAACCACTGAAAGGTCAGGCAGGCAGTTGAATGTCATTCGGCTATTACGCATGTCTATGTGTAAGTTCAGCTTGGGGTGGGAGAAAACTGGTTCTTGACAGGAGTGGGGCAGGTTGTCAACTTTGGAAGCAGAAGAACAGAGAACAGTGTCTCAATTCCATTTTATCAGAAAAGAAGGTGAATACAAAGACTTGCTAGTTTGGGTACAGACCAGAGAATACATTTTTTAAAAAAGGTTCCACTAGTGATTGTTCTGTACATCTCTTATCAAGGCATCTGCTGTCCGTCAAGACTTTGGAGGTAAGCAGTCAAGAAGGAACCAGAGTCCCCTAAACTTACCTGATAATGAGTTGCCTGGAGATAACTATACAAACTGAATTTCCAGGTTCTCATTCCAGCTGCTACGAGTCAGAATTGCCCATAGAGGGGCCTAGGAAGTGGAGTTTATCATCAGCAAAGTTTGAAAAAATATCTACAGTGCATGTAAAACTCGGATATGCATCACTTGGGTCTTGCTAAACCATGCCTAAGCTCCACACCCAGCCACTTTCATTCAGTAGGTCTGGAGTGGGGCCCAAGAACGTGAATTTCTAACAAGCTCTATGAAGGTGTTGCTACTCCCGGACCATGCTTGGAATAGACCTGCTCTATCAAATCAACTTCTTAGAAAGCTGTTTACCGATACTTAGCCCTGCATTTGGGGATGAGAATGATGAGAAAACAAAGATGCATTATTCAGTTATTTCACCAAATTCTGAGTACTCACACACTGAATAGAACTTACTGTGGAGAATGATGGCTTGAGGAAATCCAGGTGCTTTTTGCAGACTTGAGAAATCCCACTTGAGTTGTGTTCTGGTGGCTGCCTAAACATGCCCTGGAGAATCGGCATCAGTATTTTTAGTAAGTTTCCCAAGTGACTCCCAGATTCCTGCAAGTTTGGGAAGCACTCGTCTATATAAAAATGTTTGAAATAAGCAGCCAACTGCTCACTGAATTTTTCTTTCTTTTTTGTTTTTTTTACTACTTTTGCTTTGATACACTCATATTTTTTTGACTGAGTCAATAACATCTGATGCATTTCCATTCTGAGTAAGCTTGCAAATTCAGGACATCGTAGTAT